ACATCATCAATGAATAAATAATAAATTTAATTTATTGTGTGATGACTCCCAATTAGGAAATTCCGTTTCCCTATACCCAATTATCAATATCTTTAATATTACATTATCAAAATTAATGTGTGAAATACATTTAAATAATAATAATTTAAAAAACATTGTATTAATTCAATTTCAAAATTGAATTCAATTTCCACATTAGGTAATTCCATAACCCGTTACCTAACTTCCAACTTTTATTTCCAACTTTCCAATATTTCCAACATTCAATGAAAGAACAACATTCAATTAAAAATTGAAGAACAACATTTGTTAATAATTCAACATGATGTTTCACATCATGAATTAAATATTATGAACAGAATTCAACATGATGTTTCACATCATGAATAATATTAAAATAAAACATTCATAATTTCATCATAAAATTAAAAGTTAAATGAATTCCAAAAAAGGAAATTTCAATTCCCGGTCGACGCATTCAAGAAGTAAATTTTTAGCTCTTAATTAGTAAGATTCGAAATAGTATTTAAAAATAGTAATCTTATTGAATATTAGGAATAGTCTTTGAAAAATCTTCCACAAATGCTTCTTGCTTGCTAGTCATTACTCCTCTACCATTTCTTCCTCTCTTCTGATTGACCAACTTGATTGACTCCTCAAATGTCATTTTCCATACTCTCACCAACAAACATGCCAGAATCATTCCAGTCCTAGAAAGTCCAGCCATGCAATGCACAACAATTCCCCTGTTCGAATCCACCTTTCTCACATATTCTACCAATTTTATCATTTCATTCATTAATTCCATATTAGGAACTCCATAATCATTAATAGGAAAATGAGCAATATTCAATTTTCCAACATTATAAGTAAATTCTTCACAATTTTCTATTTTTTGTAATTTTTTAGAAATTAAATTAAAATATTCTGAATGAGGTAATTGTTCAACAAAGGAAGCTACCCTCTCATTCACACAAATCACCAAACCAATGTGATGATGATTTAAATTTTTGTAATGTTCGGGAAGGGATGGAAATTTCATACCAGCCAATTCCGATTCTATAATCCATGAAAAGCCTGGAACTTCAAGCTCTTCTTCGTGATTGTTCATGGTAGTGGCAGCCGTGAGAAGGTTTTGAGACATTTTTTTTGTAGAGCTTGCTTGGGAAGTTGGAAGTTGATATTGTCAAGTGTTAAAGTTCAATATCAAGTTGAATTTCAAGGAACAATGAAGAGGGGTCAGAAGTTAATTATTTTTCATTGTAATGTACAGGATTTTACTGTC